TGGGAAAGTCTGCTGTTAGGGACCTTTCCAAAGTTCTGAAGAGCAATGGTGTCTCTCTGGAGACTAAGGTGCAATTTAATACAGGCCATGGTCTTTGCTATCACTTGTTATGCATCAATCAAAGTTGGACAATGACTTGGGAGGATAGAAGGAGAATTGGTGCCTTTGAGCTGTGGTGCTGGAGAAGAGTATTGAGGGTACTATGAGATTAATCCTGGAGGGGGTTAAACCGAGAGGCTCCTTGGAGGGAAGGATTCTGAGGCTTCATCTAACATACTTTGGACATGTTGTAAGGAGGGATCGGTCCTTGGAGAGCAACATTATGGTTGGTAGGGTGGTGGGACAGCGCAGGAGAGGAAGGCCGTCTATGAGGTTGATTGATTCAGTTACTGGGGTTATCGGGATGGGTGTATCTGAGACAGTGCAATTGGCACAGGACAGAGCGGAGTTTAGGGCTGTTGTACATAGGGTCACTATGAGTCCAAGCCATTCAACGGCACATAACAAAACAACAACAACATATATGATTAATAACTCAGCTGCTAACTGATAGATATGAGGTTTGAATCCACACAAAGGTGGCTCAGAAGTAAAATGTAGCCATCTACTTTTTTTAAAAAACAGCCATCTCTTTCAGGTGGGAGTCTGGAGACTACGAGCAGACATGGCACCTCGTAAGGGAAAGGAAAAGAAGGAAGAGCAGGTCATCAGCCTTGGACCTCAGGTGGCAGAAGGAGAGAATGTCTTTGGTGTCTGCCACATTTTTGCATCCTTCAATGACACTTTTGTTCATGTCACCGATCTTTCTGGCAAGGAAACCATCTGCCGTGTGACTGGCGGTATGAAGGCGAAGGCTGACCGAGACGAATCCTCACCATATGCGGTCATGTTGGCTGCTCAGGATGTGGCACAGAGGTGCAAGGAGCTGGGCATCTCTGCTTTACACATTCAACTTTGCGCTAAAGGAGGAAATCGAACCAAGACCCCTGGACCTGGGGCCCAGTCTGCCCTCAGAGCCCTTGCCCGTTCAGGAATGAAGATTGGACGGATTGAGAATGTCACCCC